ACAGGTAATTGTCATAACACCTGAGTGAGAATGTTCCGTGTTTAAATACCACTGTCGAATTCCAAACGGCTGAAACAATTACAAATTATCAAATCGAAATGAGATAATCTAAAGTTAATATCAATGTAAGAATTGTTTTATTTAGAATTAAAATATAAAATACATGAAATAGTCTAGCTTTACCATTATAGAAAGACGTTTATTTTTTTTATATATGCATGTACATGTACTAGAACTATGTTTTCGTGTATTTTTTTAATTGCTTGTTTGAAAAGAGATCTTTTTAAAGTTAGTTTTATAATATACTGTGTATGATATGCTTTTTTATTTTTTCATTTCAAAAGTTATACGCAGTTATCAACAAACAATAACCAACTTCTACTAAAGCTCTCTTCGGCAACTTCGCTTGGGCAAGTGCAATTCTCAGAGGTTTCGTTAACACATCCTAAAAAATGCATAAAAATATTTCTATTCTCTCAAACTTATATCTATACATAATAAATATATGAACAAACTGGTATAAGGATACGCTTTACAGAAGAAAAACAACACTTTTTTTTTTACTAAATTGTCGTAGTAATTCTGGAGGAGCAAGATTTTTTAATGTTCTTTTTTTTTATTATTTTCCCTTGAAAAAGAGAAAAACAGGTATATACTGACAAAACGTCAGAAATACTCAAGCTGTAGAAAGTCAATTAGGAAGTGTCATTAATATCCTAAAATGGTATATGTATAAGATTAGGGCTATTGAGTTCAATATTCTATTGAATAAACTACATGTACATGAAACAAAATTCCTAAATTGAATTAAATTAGAAGAAATATAGTTCATCGTACTACTTTTTAAGATGAATTTACGTGACACACTTTCAGAAATATTTTATAGAGCATGCGCGTATAGTAACGTTTCCGTTTCGTAATTGAATGAAATATTTTTTTTTTAATGTAGACATTTAGTATACTTCAAACTACATAAGTTTTTTTGTTATATTTCTTGCTTAATGACGTACATCATATTCAATATATACATCAATCTAAATAGCTTGCCACAAGCCTGTAGAAAAGTTTTTTTTTTCAAAGTGGAAGGGGGGGGGGGGCTCGGGTTCATCCATCCTTGTAAACCACGGCCAAAGATGTACGATTCTCTCCTACTCCGGACCGTGGCTTGAGACGATGGGCTTCATCTAACAGATTGGCATGTCCAATACATATTCCGTACGAATCCAAAAGAAGTTATATAGGTTCCGTTACCAAAGCTTTAAATAATCTGAGAATTAACATGGATTTTGTGCTATTACTAGTATTTTACTGTCACTCCAAGTACGCATCATTTGCAGGCCCGTGAAAAGCAATTTCAGTTGGGGGTACAGCCATACATTTTCTGGTCATGCATTGTAGAATTTGTTAACGATGGGGTAACCTGCGTCACCTTTCAGAGTCTGTGGACTAGTCCAAGGATGCTTTGTCGGCGACTGTAAAAAGTTACCTGAGATCCCTACGCAAAGGAAAGCGCGAAATCTCTGTATAGAAACTGTTGCGGGTGCGGAGTTTCACTTATTGTTCATACGCCATAGAATAGAATCCGATATTTAACACTTAATATCTTTGAATATACAGAAGTTTTCAGGATAATTAAGCTTCTTTTTTGTTTCTAGAAAAATTTTTATCTACCAAAATAATATTTATTTGTGTTTTTAATCTGAGTAAATCGATGACCTAGCATCGTTTTAGATAACTCTAGGGCTTGAGTAAAAACTGTTATCGCCTACACCTAAGGATGCTTTGTGACAATGGTTGAAATTGGAGAAGTTGAAAAAGTGAATAGTTTATTACAACAACGACAGGCAACGGACTGAAAAACATCGATGGTTTCTGGTATATATAAGTGTAAATATATCCATCAATTTTGGGTTATTTATTGAAGTACATAGTCTTTCACAACACAAATATAAGCGAGAAAAAATTGCAATGTACGATGTAAATGATTTATTTTGATAAGTTTTAAATTTTATTTAAGATAACGACAATTTACCATAAATTTCCACCTCGCAAGGCTCAATCACAGCAAAGTTTTCGGTTGGTCGATTTGTTTCGTTGGTGTACAGGAACACTTGTATACCGTCCCTTCCCCCGGGGAAAACGATGGTATTTTGATAGCTGGGACTGGGTTCTTCGTCATGGTACACGGGACTTAGAGAGGACAGTTCCTCTACCTTTACAGTCTGATTTGTGATGAATACATAATAGCCATCATGTCGGGTATCTGAAATAACAGGATCATATTTTTGCCGTCTTAGTCAATGTTAGCTTTAAACATTTCAGCTATGTTCTACATGTAGTTCTATATTATTTTGTTTGGACAGCTTGATTTTACAAGTAATAGGTGTAATTTTTTTTTATATATTTAGGCCTACTCATTTATACTCGATAACAATTCTTTGGGATACTTTATAATGAATCATTTATAAATGAGGCTTTTTAACTGCTCAAGTAAAGACACACTATACACAAAGGAAAAAAAGTTGTGTTTTTTTTGGACAATATAAAATCATTTCATATGTTTTAAAATATATTTATTTCATTTTCAAAATATAGTACAGTCTTTAAACTACATGAAATATGATCAAGGCCATTGAAGCTCTGGTAAACAGAATTCATTGCTGGTTACTTCAAAAGAAGAAAACGCTTGCAAAACACTCTATGCGGTATATTGCATATCTTTGCCCCCACAAAAGTCAAATTTTGAAATTTTTTTAAAATGTGCTGAATTGTTTGAATTGTATGAGAAATATAAATTTACAGAACATATTATAGTTGCAAAGTAGTTTATTGACAATATTTGTTTTTATGACGTCACAAACTATAGTCCAATTTTATAATAATTTTATATAGCACACGAGGAATCGGGGGGAATCTGCCCACTCCCCACTCATTTTTTAGAAAAGGACAAAATGGACAAAATTTCAACAATTTTACCTTTAAAAATTATAGAGCGCAAGTTTGCTCAGGAACAATATTTACAAAGAGCAATATATGATAAGTGTCTCAATAGGCCCCTTAAAATGAATATCTTAATTTTACTTAATATATAGCTTTAATTTGTACAGCTATATATGCGACTTTCATTGGACATTTTCAATTTCATCAGAATGACGTTATTTTCAAATATGACATCATAAAGTTCAGGTTTTCCCGCCATTTTAGCATATTTCGTATAAAACTGCTTATTTCCAAGCAGTTTTTCTTCCAGAAAATATAGAGAGCAGCCTAGAACAAACATTATATTTTTACAAAAGATGTATTTATCCAATACAAATTGGTGACAGAAAAATTATGTATGTTCTACATTGCGCTCTATGTTTCCCATCAGAAAAATCATCAAGAAAAGGCATATTTTTGGCATTTTTTGTTAGATAGCAAAAATAGCATTACTTTTCATGTCATTTACAGCCAGTGAGGGCATATAAATGTGAAAAATATATTGGAAATATTTCTAATATAATCTTTTCTACAAAATAAATATAAATTAAACAGATCTAAATATATTCTAAGATGTTGATTTTTAGGGGGCCAAAATTGGCTCTTAACATATATAGCTCTTTCATTAATATTATCATTCTACACATTAAATCAAAATATTGAGCCTGATCAGACCTGTGCTTGGTGATTTTTACTCAAAATAACCACGAAATATATACATTTTCCGTAGAAATCATGTATGGGCAGCGGAAAGGGCAAAAATTACCATAATGAGAAAACAAACGATTATTTTAATTTCAATGACCATAAACACTTAACAAATGATATACAATGCATAATCAACAGACGTTTGCGAACAACAAATATACATTAAAGCAAAACCAACGACCACGTACGTAACAAACATGTATGAATGCAAAACCAACAATCATCTTTGCAGTACAAACGTACATAAAAAACACGAAAAATACTTAACAAACGTGCACGCGGTAAATCTAGTCTTCCCGACTGCCGGCGGTCCCGTTTTTGTGGGGTTTTTTTTGGGGGGGGGGGGGTCTTTTTTGTCGGTGCACAGAAACTCTTCAAACTTTTTATGCATATTTCCTTTTTAAATTAATTCAATAATATTTATTACTGAATCAGCAGTATCACCTTCCAAAAGCGTTTAATGTAGTACTTCCTTATAAATATGAAAACTAAGAGACGTAGAAAGTAAAGGTGCATGGACTCAGATTTGGAGTTAATATTTTCTGTATAATATTACGACTTATATTTTGTAATAGCATTTCACACAAAAATATATTAAAAATCTTATTTCATCTAAAAGTTATTAAAACTTCAAACTTTTAGACGGACCCTTGCAATCTCGCAAATTTTAATTTTATTCTTAATACTTAGGAAAAGTAGCAATCTTGTTTCAATAACTTTTAGATGAAATAAAATGAACTTCAAATCCGTGTCCATGTATCTTTAAAGATATTAAAAATATTGATATTGAGAAGATATTTCTTCTCAAAAAGCTGGAACACAGGGGCTTATGTAGAGAAAATAAATCAGTTAAAAAAAATTAGTACCTCGGAGAAAAATACACTGTGTATTTTTCTCCGAGGTACTAATTCTTTTTAACTGACTTTTTTTGTCTACACAAGCCCCTGTGGATGGAATTAGTATTTCAAAATGAAAGTTTAGATTCTATAAAATTCATAACATCCAAATGATTTGATTTCAAATAAGATTTTTTATCAAAATTTTCTAACATTTCTAACATAATCTAACATTGTACCTATTGTAAAACCATGCAAATTGAAAATATTGCATTGTTATACATTGACGTAGTGCTCATCGTTTTTGAAAGGAGAGGGTAACCAGAGAAAAAAATTCAAACAAGATGAATTTTTTTTTTTAAACTTGACAAGCAAAAACAAAAAGGAAATTAAAATGAAATAGCCCAAACTCGAAAACCTATCTTGTGTGTGTGTGTGTGTGGAGGGGGTGGGGGGGGGGGTCGGTTCAACTTATTTCAGTACCATTTTCCCCAAATATACATGTATATACTACGTACCCCCTTTTATGTTACCTTTTTCTTAAAATTGGGAAATGTTGCTACGTGCCTGTAATATGATATGTCACTGTTATGTAAATTCTTGTAATATTTAAAGAATTGGAGAAAACAAAAACAAAATAAAAAATGAAGAAACGGCATTCAGGAGAATGAGATATTTTTTTCATTTTATGTAAATTCTTTTCTTTTATTTGAAATTTTAAGGATAAAACCCAACTCTAAGCAAAGGAAAAATTAAAGGGGGATCCGAGGTAGAACTACGTCCATGTTGTAGAGCCTGGGAACATAAACATGATGTGGCCAAGAGTTCTCTACGATAAAAAAATGTGTGGGGAATTTTTGTGCATACAAATTATCTTGCATGCATATGCAAATGAGGGTTTTTATTTATTTAAAAAAATATACCTCAATTTCTTGTTTTTAATCGCTATTCTACGAAAACATCGGTATCCTTTTTTTAGTGGTTTTCGCATTTATAACTGAGTACTAGATTTACCGCTTTTTGACAGGTGATACTGCGGACACAAACGTAAAGTTTTTATATATACATGTATCATATTTAATGTTTTTTTTTTTTAAACTTAGAAATGTGCCTGAGAAGTGTGAAGAGTTTCTGTGCGCCGACAAAAAGGAAATCCCCAAGGAAAAAACACAAACAAAAACCGGGACCGTCGGGAGCCGGAAGGACTAGATTTACCGCTTGCACGTTTGTTAAATTTATTTTGTGTTTTTATTTGTGTTTTTTGTACGTTTGTACTGCAAAGATGATTGTTGGTTTTGCATTCATACATGTTTGTTACGTACGTGGTCGTTGGTTTTGCTTTAATGTATGTTTGTTGTGCGAAAACGTCTGTTGATTATGCATTGTATATCATTTGTTAAGTTTTTATGGTCATTGAAATTAAAATAATTGTTTATTTTTACATTATGGTAATTTTTGCCCTTTCCGCTGCCCATAATCATGGACATCTTAAATTTACGTCATTTTCGTGACGTCATTTAAAACATATGACGCCATTACTTATGAAAATATTCAGTGCGTTTAAGTCAGCATATATCCCCCTGTTCTAGAACATAATTAAATATTTCTCCGTCATACATGTAGTTTGATTTAAAACTTTCTCATAATCTTTTAAAACTTATAAGACAATATTCATATCATACTCATTTGTAATTATTAGTAGTAAAAGTAAAATGAAACTAGAGTTAGTGTGAGCAATGAGCTCACTAAATGATACCCCCGCCTCCCATATGTATATTATGGCAGAGTTCATGTTTTGCTATGGGAAACCCAAAATATGTGTCGGATCAAAAAGCGGTAGGGTATATAGTAATCGGTATGTCCGTCCGTTCAGCTGTACGTCCGTCTGTCCGTCTGTTACGCTTTGGGGTACCCATCTCTTATCCGCAACTCCTCTCATACCACTGAAGGAAATTTAATGAAACTTTCACAGAATTTTTATTACATATTGCCATTGTGCACCTCCTATTTTACTTTTTGATCTGACATATATTTAGGATTTTTCAGAGCAAAACATGGACACTGCCATTATACTAGAAATGTTTTATATTTAGCGTGAACGATATTTAGCGAAAATTGATTTTTGAACGAGTTAGCGTAGATTTGATTTAGCGCATTTCTCAATGTTTTTATTAATGTATATATGTGCAAGACATTTAGCGTTGTATTTAAATTACTGGAAGTTCCTTTCCGCCAAAAGCGCTAAAAAGAAGACACAGCCAAATGTAATACGTTTACAGTATTCATATGGGAGGCGGGGGTATCATTTAGTGAGCTCATTGCTCACAGTACCTATAGTTTTGCAATGAAATTGATCCGAATAGACCAATCAAGCCCATTGATAATAAGAAATAAAACTGGAACGGAAATGCAACGGTATTAATAAGATTTTTCACCAAGAGCAATAAAATTGGGAACTTTGAAGTATATAAGTAAAAGAACTTAGGGCTAGGTGTAGAGATGGGGACTGAGCCCATTAGTAATGAGTGTTTACCTGCATTAGAGGGTGGTGCCATGTTGGGGTTCATAGGTCAACAGACAGACCTACGGACAAAGCGTAGATGGTAAGTAATAGTGGGACAGCCAGTGAACTGTGCAGTTTTATATCCTGGATCATGAATACCCTCTGAGCACAAAATACCCTGGTTTACCAGAAAATGGCATCTTTCTTTCTCATTCTTATCTCAGATTCTCAATTTAATTTTCAATTCTCTCTCTCTCTCATTATTACATTCGCATGTCATTCTATTTTTGGGAATAATTGGGAATTGGACTTTTATTTATTTTAGCCCGCTTGAAATAGTAATCGGTTTGTCCGTCCGTCCGTTTGTCTGTACGTCCGTCCGTCTGTTTGTAACGCTCTGGGGAATACATCCTCAACTCCTCTCATACCACTGAATGTTTGAAGAAACTTTCACAGAATCTTTATTGCATATTGCCATTGTGCACCTCCTATTTTACTTATTGATCTGACACATATTTTGGGTTTCCCACATCAAAACATGGACACTCCCATTATATTCATATGGGGGCGGGGGTATCATTTAGTGAGCTCATTTCTCACAGTACCTCTAGTTTTTTGGGAGTTCAGCCTTCAGCTCTTTCTGTTTTGGACGGATCCGTAGACATTTATATAAGCAGTGTATTGGTTTATTCGGATCAAAACTAAACGATCACTGTGAATTTGGATTTATTTAATAAACTTTGAAATAAATACAAGTTTCGTCATTGGCTTTCACAATTTGAGTTAACCACAAATATTACTATTATTTCCTAAGACTATATTAAGTTATGAAAATATACGAAGGCTGTTCAATAAATTATTCCTTGGTGTTCAGAAAGAAATAAAAAAAAATTGCCATTGTATAAATTTTAACAATTTCTCTAAAAATACTCTCCTTTAACTGAAACAGATTTTGAAACCTTTTTATCAAGTTATATGTGATATATGGCAGTTCCAAGATTTGTATTTTTTCCTAAAAGGTGTGTTTTAACTATCGGCAAAAGAAATTTATTGTTAATATTTCACTGGGATTCAAAGTCATGAATCCAGGTGTCATCACCAATTAGAAATTCTAACAAACGTCGTTCATTACAGTTTTTGATATTTTTTCAATTAAAAATGTTTAGCTCTTCTAACCAGAGACATATACTCTTTTATAATTGTACGTCCTTCTGTTCTAACTCCCTGTTGTTTTATATTCATTTGTCAAAATGTCCGGTATCCTTCCCGCTAAGCATTTTAGTCTGTAATGTTTTTTCCCTCAAAACTTTGTGGACAACCTCGGAAAATATGTCTACTAACTTAGCTATTTGTCAAACAGTCAATCGACCATCATAAGTAGCAAGTTTCTGAATTTTAGCTATCATTGCATCGGTGGTTGTTGTTGGTCTTGGTCCACCAGGTCGGGATCGTCTCTGATTTCCATTTTACCATTTCTGTATTTTGATACCCACCTGTTCATTTACTTGAAACAAAACAGCTTTTCCAGGCAAGTTAAAAAAAGGTCACATATGCTGTGCACTACGTCATCAGCTTTAGAGGGGGTGACATAGATTTAGAAAACCACGGCCGCTGTGTGCGGTGATCCGGAAAGTCGGATCACACCGTAATATGATTTAATGAATTCAACAGTAAAATTGAGTGATATACAGGTTAATATATAATATATGAACTTACAATTCTCCCTGAAGACCAAATTGATTTTAAAAATCTTGGAAGACGACTTGAAGGTAACTTGCCACCAAGCCTCCCCAATGACTCCATTGGCCTTTGAACCGGCACATCCGTGTGAATGGTTGTGATATTCTCCATCCAAGGCCTTCTCTGCTGAGAGACTTGGTTTCCCGTTGTAATTTTCATATACATATTCTGATGATATCGAAGTATTTTCTAGGTATTCGCGTCCCAAATTACAGATCTGAGCTGCAGTGGAATAAACGGGTGAAAAACGTTGGTTAAATGGCATTCATGTTATACGTCTTATTTTATTATGCATTAATTGAAAACAGAAAGGCCCAAGATTTTCATTCAAATATTGCATCTTTTAATTATCATAGAAGAACTGAAATATCAATGTTGCTTTAATTAACAAGTGTTACATGAAGTGTCTTTTAGAGAAAGAAATATACAAATTCCATTTTTGGATAATCAACTCATAACACCTACATTACGCGATTGAGGTAAGTTTTAACAATGGATGACACTGTAGCTCTCGGGTCTTTCAAACTATTTTTTCGGAGAGCTACAGTTCTGCAGCTATAAATGTTCTTTAAAAATGCATTTCTTTTGGAAAATCATTTAGGTTCAAGCAACTTTTTATATATGAGTGAGTAGACTGAGAGGGTTTATGAGCCTTAATCTTATCAGTTTTAACTACTATATATAGTATATAGTATACTGTATATAATTGTCAAACGTGCATGGTCACCCATAAGTGTTAGATTTTATTTAGTTTAATTTCCTTTTCAATTTTTTTTTCTGTTTCAACATTGGAATTGCTGTTTTATTCTTATCTTGAATAAATTTTTGATGGGGAATAATTTTCTTTCTTTTTTATATATATATTTATATTTCCATTTCTAATTTTTTTTCTCTGTGATAACTCTCTGAAAGTTGTCGGAGTTTATTTCTTGATAATTCTGCCGGAATGTAAATTAGGCAGGTCGATAGGTCAGGAGCTAAGGAGGCCTAAAATGCATGCAAATCTCGTGCGCATCTGTCTCTGTGTCTGACGCTAAGGAGGTAAAATGTGCATGTAAATCTCGTGCGGCTGCTCAGGTGTTCGACATCACTGGGCGAGGACTATTGAAATTGGCATGGACGTCCTCGTGTAATTTAAGTCTATGTCTGCATTTTTAAGTCTAAATCTACCATTTTATTTTACAATGAAATGAAAATATAAGGAATCACTGTCTAGTTAGGGGAGTATGCCAGGGACATCAATGCCCTGGCATACTCTCCTAACTAGACAGTGATTCCTTATTTAACTTTTGTTTATTCATGAGAAACAGTCAAACATTCATACATTGTATCTGAATCTGCATTCCTTTTAATTCACTATAATCTATACTTAAAAGAAATAAGCATGCGTATGCGTATACAGTATTTACTTACCACAATTTTTATGTATTAGGAAAACTCCAACGGCAAAACACACGATGCCTTGTGTCAATAAATGTCTCATTGTAACACACTCAGATAAAGATAAAAACAATCCTCAAGTCAGCTACTGTTTTTACTTACTGATTTAACTTAAAAAAAACCATTTTAACAAACATAATAAATAAAGCACTATTTTTCATTAATAAGAGTTACCAGTTAAATGATGCCTCACATGGTTTATAATTTTTATCCTTATAGACTTTCACCAAGCATCTGTTATTCATCCGATTCATCTTTATTTTAGATGATATTTATTGTAGTTTCATTATAGATGATTTTTAAAATATTTTAGAGCGAAGTGTATCTTTTGAAAGACAAACAGATGGAAGATTTGCTAATTATTAATAGCTAAAACTGTAACACAACTATAGAGAACGATATCCCTTAAATATTTGATGGGATGCGTGGATGGGTCTTACAAATCGAACAGAAAAAATTTTAATGTTTCCTCATAAAACTCTGCTTAACTAATTTACATCAGGATATGTCATTAATTTTTGAGCAGTCATTGAAAAATCCTAAAAGCTGAAAGATGTTTTTCATTTGTATTTTATTGACAATGCATACAAAATATATAAAAACTTTGTATAAATTACGCAGAGAATTTAATAGCCTATAGAGATAATATTGACTCGATCGGTTCCAAGTCACGGTGAGGCGAGAGAAAAAAATGACGTATGACTTTTGGGGAATGTTGTGATGGGGAAATTATCAGTTATCGACTCATTCCTGCCGTATTATGATTGAAGTCTGAATGTTTACCTTATTACGTAAAACACCATTTACATGGTAAAATATGGTCACTTATCTCAAGCTGCATCAAAACATACATGAGATGCTGTCATACGACCGCAAAAAGTTGTTTGACTCTATATATAACCACCCCATTTTCATGTTTCCAAGTAAGAAGATTCAATAATTATGTTGAGTTTTCACTTAAAAACTCAAAGGAATTTTTAATAAATTTGAAATGACAGTTTTACCAAAATCAGGAAAATCAAAACGTAACACTTTCAAGACTTTCCGGATCATTACAAGGAACTCGTGGCGGATGTCGGACGACAGGGAATGCTTTCTCCTATATGGCACCTGATCCAGCGTCTAATGATTTCAGAGCCCCACGTTTATATTCTGTTCCAGATCGACATTGCAGAGTCTGTCACATCCATTTCATAACTGGATGTTTTGCTCGCAGTAGTTCTGTCATGCTGTAAATTTTGAATTTACCGGGTGGCGGTAAATACAAAATTTACAACATGACAACTACATGTATAGTTGTATTGTATTTACTAGTTGTCATGTTATAAATTTTATATATACTACCACCCGGTAAATTCAAAATTTAGATGACATTTTGATGGACGACAGCGGACGCCACATTTTGAATAAAATATTGATGTTTTGTACAGTGCTTTCGTCAATTTCGTAGACAAATTACAGCTAAACTGGTAATGCTGTGTGAACATATATAGTTTAACTTTTAAGAATTAAAATATCCACCAGCAAAAAAAAAAAAATAAATAAATAAAATTCTTTCCTATGATATAAAATTAAGATACGTGTATCTAAAGCGGGTGACTTCATAGAGATGAGATATATTTGTATGATTTTTCATTCTTGGCTTAAACGTTAAATCTTTACTTTTTTAACCTTGAATATTCAAATTTCCCAAAACGATTTTGCTATCTTATACTTTTGTGTATTTAATCAGTTGTTGGCTTAGAAAGTTTACACTTACTAGTAGTTAACAACCCGAGGCCTAGGTTCAGTACACGTCTTTTGATATTTTAAAATATACTTCAAACGTCTAAAATCAAACTTTTTAGATTTTTTGAAATTTAGAATTTTGATTCAAACATTTAAATTTTAAATATTAACCAAAACAATTTTTACATTTTTAATTTTAGAACTTTACCAGAAATATCCAAAATAATCCACAGATGTTTTGAATTTTGACACATTGACAAATACGCTTTTGGTCGACGAAAAGAATTTTTAGATATTTAGAAGTTTGAAGTGATATAGATATTATAGTTTCAAATTTCAGATCGGGTTTGGAAGAGAATAGGTTGGATATTTGAAGAAAAAAATCTAAAATCTCAAAGCGTTTTGATTATTTGAATGTTTGATTCAAAATTATCAATTCTCAAAAAATCTTAAACATTTTGAAAGTTGAAATTTAGAGGTTTGAAGTAAATTGTAAAATATCAAAATCGTTTATGGAAATTTGAATACTTAGGGTAAAATATAAAAAGGTTACATTTTATAACATTCTTAGAAATCGGAAGATTTCTAAAAATTTTCAACTAAAAAAATTACATTTCAAATGCGAAATCACTTTGAGTTATTTTACCTAATGTTTTGAAATTTTAAAACTTTTGATGATTTTAGAATTTTGAATTAAATGTGTCACACGGACCATAAAACCAGGCTTTTCTTCCAAACAATTGAAAATAAAAAATTTTTGACGTCACCAAATACACAATACTTTTGCATATTATGACGTCATAGACAAATAGCGGGGATACATCATCTGTGACATCACAATAGGAAGAATATCAACAAAAACTTCGTTGTTATCCACATAGTCCTTTACGCTCTGAAACCATCATGGGTCTATTTCAGAGTTGTTTTGCCAAAAATAACAAAGTCGGCGTTATGAAGGAAGAGATGGAGGTGTACGAAAAAGTACGCAAAACAATGGTCACAGATGAAGTAACAGAAATGAGAGGAGGGTTGGCCTTTGATCTCACCTTCGTTTCAGAGGAAACCCCAAAGATGCCCCCTGCCAGATTGCTGGAGAACAAAGAGAAAGACTTTGAAAAATGGAGAGGTATGTGCATGAATATCAATTACCAAAACAATATCAACTAATTTCTGTACATTTGTAAAGGTTGTTACATGCATGTATTTGTTTGCAAGATAATTACTGTCATAGATTTATTTATGAAATATAATTATTTAAGATGTTCTTAATTCCTGAAAAAAGAATTGTAACAATTAAGATAAATAGTTATGATTGACTTTAATTTGTTTGACAGAATCTCAGGAAAAATCCCAAGCCGAAAAGCAGGCCCGGGCCCAAAAGAAGCGTGAGGAAGCCCGTGTCCAGAAAGAGATCGATGTTGCCCATAAGGAGATGGAGAGGCTCGAGAAATATTTCAATGTCACTGCCGAATAGAATGTATCTGAAAGAACCCTTCATATACATGTATGCGTGTGTCTAAAATTAAACTGAATTGTTATTTTAAAGCTTGTAATTTAAACAAATCTTGGAACCAAAGCCAATGAGGAGACACCAAAACTCTTTCTCTGATGTATGTTCATATGGCTTTCTAAGCGCCTAAATCTTTTCTTGCGCCATGGAGACAGATATATGAGAATAGCACTGCGAACAAAATTCGGTTAACTATTCCAATTTGTTCATGTGTTTCGGAACTTTTGGACTCCAGATACCCCCAGGAATGGGTATTGAGCTGGAACATCTATCCCTTCAGTGATCAGGGACCGGGGATCGCTTCCCATGCAGTCTAAAATTTTCAGAAAATGTAAATGATACATCTTTTAGTGACGCGCGCCAAAATCTTTGTTGTTCATTCTGTTTGTCAAATGTTCAATAAACTAATCAAGTTGCAAACACTGTTACGTCTATTTTCTTTCTTTTCTTTCTTTATATTTATTATATCATATGTATATACAGTAGGACTGTATATAGTGATCGGAATGTCCGTCCGTCCCTCTGTTACCTTTAAGATACCCATCTCTTATCCGCAGCTCCTCTTGTACCACTTAATGAATTTTGATGAGACTTTAACAGAATTTGTGTTATACATTGTGCATCTCCTTTTTTACTTCGGGTTTCCCATTGCAAAACCATCCTCGCTAGCCAAGGGTTTCTGATACGTTACTCTCCTCATGAACAGGGATTATGAGGAGAGTAGAGTATCAGAACTCCTTGGCTAGAGAAGATGTTGCAAAACATGCATGGTCACCGTCATTTCTTCTATATTGAAGGGTACCTATCTATTATCTAACCCCCCTGGTCCGTGCACGCTTAACAGTTCGAATCAAAATTCTAAATTTCTGAAATTCTAAAACGTTTGAAAGTTGAAATTTAGAAGTTTGAAGTAAATTTCAAATAGTCAAAAGACGAAAAATGTTATTGAATTGTAGATTTTTAAGCGTAAACTTTCTGAAGAAAAGGTAAATTAAAAAACTCATAAGTTTAAAATACAAAATTCTTGTTTTGGAAAGTTGAATTTTGAATATTTAAGGTAAAAATCTAAAAACTTAAAATTCTAAAACCTGTTTGGAAATATGAAAATTTAGATTTTTTAGACTAAAGTTTTAAATTTCAATAAACCAAAATTTAGTTTTTGAACATTAGAAATTTGGACTGATATATCAACATTTTAAAACTCAAAATCATTTTAGAAAATACATACATACCACTGAAAAAAATTTAATGATGTTTTCACAGACTCTTTTCTCTATAATGCCATTGTGAACCTCCTGTTTTACTTTTTGATCTGACACTTATTTCGGGTCTCCCATTGCAAAACATGGACTTTGTCATTATAGTCATATATGGGAGGCAGGGGTATTATTTCGTATTCTCAGTGCTCACAATATCTCTAGTTTACTGTTTCTATAATTAAACTCCCCGCTTGAGAAATGGGAGCTAGACTTAGCTGTGTATAGTGTTCGGAATGTCTGTCCGTCTGATACGCTCTGAAATACCCATTTCTGATCCACAACTCCTCATATGCCATTGAATGAAATTTAAAGACTTTCAATGACTTTTTCTTACATAGAGCCATTGTGAACCTCCTATTTTACTTTTTGATCGGACAAGACTTAGTATTTTGGGTTTTCCATAGCAAAACACGTTGCGTCTGCAAGCCATGGTTCCACTTCGGAGTCCGCATAAAATATGGAAGAGGATCGTACATTAGCCTATTTTGACCGTGGTTTGCAACGAAGCAAAACATGGACTTTGTCATATGTTATAATCATATAGGAAGCGGGGGTATCATTTATTGAGGTTAGTGCTCACAGGGGTGTTGCTAAAACGCGGAACGGAAAACGGAACGGAAAGCGGAACGGAACGGAAAACGGAATATTTTTTTTTTTTGGATTAAATCACTTAAAATACACAAATTTTATCATAAACGATTTATCTTGTACACATTCAATCCCCCACTATTAAAAACAAGTTGATTTTGTCATGCTCAATCTCTTATTTACAAAAGTCGCTAACATAGCAGTCACATAGAATCGAATTTGAAAAGGGGGGGGGGGGTAAACGAACTTGAAAAGTATTTGACAAGCAAAAAAAAAAAAAAAAAAAAAAAAAATAAGACAATTGTTTGATTCGGGAGGGGAGATAAAACACAAAAAGAAAACAATTGTTTGATTCGGGAGGGGGGGATAAGTTCCAACTCCCAACATTTTTCAGTACTATTTTTTACACTAACTTACTACATTTATTATATTCACATAAAGGGTGAGAATTTAATGTGATCTTGAACGAACATTTCCGTAGTAAAAAGGTTATGACTTGGGGGGGGGCAAATATTTGATATCTAAATGAACCATGGAAAGAGAAAAAAATGTTTTAAAAAAATTATTAAGATTACGTTTAGGGCAAACCTTAGTTACGGCAAGCTCGAATAAACATCTCTTATACACACTGGTTGTTAAAATTTTATTCAAAAATAGAGTCCTTTTGTGGATAGACTAAGTTGTGGTAGATATAATGCAGACTGCAGAATCTTTGCATTCAATGAAGTTGAATTTTGTTTGTTTGCGGCACATATGTGTGCATGTTGGGGGGGGGGGGGCGTATATGAATGACCCCGTAAAAATGAGTGTTTTCCTGCTCATCCGAAATGTCTTAGAAGTTGTAATAGGTCTGCCCCCCCCCCTCCTTTTTTGTGTCCAAAATGTACTTAAGGTTTAATAAATCAATTTTTAATGTGGCTGTGGGACCCTACGCAGACCCGAAACTGCCACCCCCGTTCATGACTCGCGAATTCGACACTGCGTGCATAATCTGAATAGAATACTAACTAGTTATTTTTGTCTTTTCAGACATTGACATTGGAAACAAATTGAAAGAGGGGGTGGGGGTCAGAAAAAAATTTCCAACATACAACAAATTTGATAAGCAAAAAAAAGGGGATATCTCCTTTGCCCAAACACGAAAATCGTATTTCGTGTGTGTGTGTGGGGGGGGGGGGGGATTTCTTCCAATAGCATTTTTTCCACGGAGGGTGTGCATGACTCATGAAAATATAATTGTTTACAATTAATTTTTATTAGAAATGACTTTTACAGCAAGAATATTGCTCTTTTATCTGATTTATATTGAATCTATGTTATTTGTTTGACAAAAAAATTTCCGTTTTCCGTTCCGCGTTTTAGCAACACCCAGCACGTGCTCACAGTATACTTCTTGTTTATTTATTTAATTAATTAAGTTATCTGTTTAACTAATGATTTTCTTTCATTCATTTTATTTATTTATTTTTGAAATATGCAATCTTTAAGAGTTAACGTCAGAAACATCAATTTTTTCTAAGTTGAATATACATTGGTGCCACTTGGACACTTCACCTTTTTTTAATTTCTACACATTGAAGTGTAAATTTTACACATTAATCTGTAAATTTTACACTTTAAAGTGTAAATTTTACACTTTAATCTGTAAATTTTATACTTTAATCTGTAAAATTTACACTTTATTTTGAACAACCTGAACTGCAATAGGTTATGATCGAACGGTCGATTTGTGATGTTTTACCTCTGACACTTTAGAAAAAGTATTAAACTGAGATGTTTACAATTGTTTGTATATTTTTATTTTACATGTACTCGTACTTGTTTATTAGTATATGATAAAGAACAATGGACTATTTCCTCATGGGTCTCGTAATTTTACCCAGCATAAGATACTAGTATCAGGGATCTGCTTTTGTTTCAGTATATATACATGTGTTTCTTTAGTTTTACTATAGTGTAACGAAAAGTAAAAATATATATCTCAAAGATTTTTTTTTATTTGCAGTACAGATTGATATTACGCTTCCGTAATTATCTTGCATGATTAACGGTCTGTTGGCTTTAAAATGTGTTACTGGGAATGTGTGAAGTTGCTAAATTGACTAGGTGAATAAACAAATAAAGTGTAAAATCTACAGATTAAAGTGTAAATTTCACAGATAAAAGTCTAAAATTTACAGATTAAAGTGTAAAATTTACAGATTAAAGTGTAAATTTTACAGATTAAAGTGTAAATTTTACACTTTAATGTGTAAAATTTACAGATTAAAGTGTAAAATTTACAGATTAATCTGTAAAATTTACACTTTAAAGTGTAACATTTACAGATTAATGTGTAAAATTTGCAGATTAATGTGTAAAATTTACAGATTAAAGTGTAAAATTTACAGATTAATGTGTAAAATTTACAATTTAAAGTGTAAAATTTACAAATTAAAGTGTAAAATTTACAGATTAAAGTGTAAAATTTACACTTTAAAGTATAAATTTTACAGATTAAAGTGTAGAAATTAAAAAAAGTGAAGTGTCCATGTGGCACTAATACGCTTCCGTAATAATAAGACAGATTACCATGATTACGTCCCTTTAAAGATTTATTTACAGATGGCGTTTTATAAACATGGCGCCTGTGGTGAAGTGCGAGTTCCTGTCAATGCAGCGTAGTTTAGGATCTTGATATAAGAGGTATAAAGAATTAATTTGAACAACCCATTCATGTATTAAGAACATTAAAGGAAACTATGATCGTGGTTTCATCTATAACGTCTTTATTTTTCAATATCCTGATGCTATTGAATGTGTAACACTTGTCTTGTGACAAATATGGCAACAATGCTGTTTATCATCACTAAGCTTAAAGCATCTATAGATAATTGAAGATTGAGTAATATCTAACAATTTGATTAAGCAATGCGGGTAGAAAGAGTATAGCCGTGAGTAATTTCTATTTAACACATGAGTCAATGTTCTGATCATAATTATCAAGTTGGGCCCAGCCCACAAAACAGTGATTTATCCCCCTTTTGGGAGAAGATCACCTGTGGGGATGTTGTATATGAGTGTTGAATTTACTGACTATATGGTATTCATTTCTAATTCCTTCCACTTTTTATGAAAACACAGTCAATCTGTGAAAGACATCGGACTGTCAGACCTGACTGATGTGCAGTGCAGTTGGTCGGATACGTCATTTTTTACAGTACGTGGACCGGAATGTCTTATGTCTTTAGTCGTAATATTCAAGTGTCTGGTTTTGAAGCAAAGTCATTTAAATGATTGTTATAAGTAAAAATGTTCATAATGTGTACCAAAGGAAAAAAATCGTGAGTGGGTTATTTTTTTGTGTCATGATTATTTTGGCCCAGGTTTTCACGATTTTTTTTTCCTATGGTACACATGATGATCAAGTTAATAAATACAATTTTTGAAAAAATATATTTTATCTAATAGGGATTAATGTCTCTGAAATGGGAGATAAACCCCCTTTGGGAAGTATTTTGCCCACCTTATTATACTGCATGGGTTTTAACAAAAAATTTAATAAATGTAAGACATAATGAAATTAATTTTTAAAAATTAGATCAGACATTGGAAAATTTTAGCACATCTGACCTATTAAAAATTATTGTCATTATCAGCTATCAAGCATGCTTAGAGCAGTGCACAGCTTTCTCACACAGATAAATTATAAATGTATATCAGTAATAAACTCTGTACTGAGAAATTGAAGAAGCTAGTGATTATAGGGTATACATTAGTATATACACAGTATTGGATAGAGTATGAGTTTGATTTATTAAAGGTCTTCCTTCTTCAGCAGAAGACCTTATTTGTTTTTATTTTGCTTGAAAGCAGTAATTAGAATAACCATTACATGTACATAATGAAAATTTCTGCCAAATGACAAATTTTATTTGATCATGTCTGATTAATTGTCTTGACAGAAAAATCACATCTGAACTCTACACATGATTCCAGTTTTTGATAAATCTTCCTGAATTATAATGATGAAAAAGGATATACATGTAAAATAAACAACATAAAATTAAATTCATCACTCACCTTTCATATGATGGATTCACGTAATTACGCATGTATGAAGCATAGTAGATGTACAGTACAGTTAGATTTGCTATCTTTCAAGAGAAAACAATAGCTGAAATATGGGTTTTTACTACATGTAATACCGTAATACTTCTACCTGTACTAACAGTCGACATTTTATTTTGGATTTTTGCATTATAAGTTTTTCTGGAGAAACTACTTAAAAAGTCTGATAGGGTAAAAGAATATTATCAAAATATTGCATATTTGTGTTGGAATATGGTGTACCATTGTATAATGTGAGAAAAATTAATTAGAATGGAAAATTCAAATTTTAGGCAATATGAAATTACCATGCAGAAATTTATTTTGAGCAATAATTTTAAATCTGATGCCAATGGTCTGTATACCAGTATTTTTAACATTTCAGATGGGAGTAGAAAACTTGACAGGGCAATATGTTAGAGCCGTTTATCCTTTTGAAACCAACCATCCAAGGGAGATAAGTCTGTCTAAGGGTGACATCATTAGAGTGACCAGCGTGATAGATGATAACTGGTACTGCGGACAGTTACGGGGGAGGGAGGGGAACTTCCCCTCCAGCTTTGTGGAGGTCCTTAGTCTGCCGGCAGTGGAGGAGGGGCAGGTATTATTTGGTGCTGTAGAAAACTTCCCTGCTCAGCAAGATGGAGATCTGGAATTTAGAAAAGGTGAAAAATAAATGTGTAACTTAAGTGTTTATATATATTTGTAATTTTAATCTATATGTGTATCAGGGTTGTCCCAAAGACTTGGGGGGTCAGGGCATTTCCCCATCTATAATAACATTATCCCCGAATCCCCGATATTCTGTTATTTTTCCTCACCATCTTGTTAATGGAGAAACCTAAGACCCCTTTCTACTTTTTAAATGCAGGGTTCTCCACATTTGAAAATTTAACCATGGAGGAAGATGTGTGAAGGCGAAATGTGGCCGAAAACACGAATGCCTGTTAGACTTTCTAATGTTCATTAATCAATGATTGGTTTTACAATTTTTAAACTAAACCACTGCAACACAAAACAATGGAATAACTAACACTTTTAAAGTTAAAAAAGAAATAATAAAATTGAAAAGGATTTATACTGTATTTTACATAACTCTAGGTCAAGATATGTTATGGATATGATCACACCATTTTTGACAGAGTTATGCCCTTTTGGACTTAGAAAAATTCCAATTTGTAGGGGAGGGGGGCATAAGTGATTTACAAACATCTCTTGTTTCTAATCGTTTTATTTTTCTAGATATTGCATTTATCACCAAGTTTTGTTAACTTCTTCATGTGGTCCAGTGCTAAAAATAGCACCATGCGACGTTTCATAACAACAGGAAGTAACTATAAAACTACTACTATACCGGCGATTAAAACTAGCAATTGAGATGTGGCCCTTTGCACATTTGATCAAAAAATAATAAAGTTAAAGCTGAAAAAACAGAGCATGGGAAATTGATTAACTACGGAGGAATATGAAATTTGTACAGAGCATTTTTTTCTGACACAGCATGCATGACGATTTTCATGTAATCTTTTATAAACTGTTACTATCCAATCATGTAGTGAACATGTTGAAGTTCCTCAAAATTATTTACATGTGCACAGGATGATTAACTCTTAAACTAATTAAAATATTTATCATCTGATCAGCTGATTGACTCTCCACTGATTGTCAGGCTTCACAACATAGTCTCTGATTACCGACGTGATTGTTTAGCACAATCCGCTTTCCTTTGAGGCATGCGAGGTGCATAGCAGTCGTACGTAGTATAAACACAATTAACTACTCAGGTCATTAAAAAAGTAGATGTTAGGATTGAAATGCAATAACATTTAATCATGGCGGCTGCCGAAGAACTACGAACTCTAACTCTTGATTCCCGCCTACATTTTGCACCCATTAAATTCAATTTTAATGGCAATTTGGCCAATAAACCTTTGTTTAATACAAAGAACAGTTCTATGGTAATTGATTAATCATTTTATTTCCAGCGCTAGATAGTAAATTATCATTAATTCCAGCTCTTGAAAAAAGGGGGGTGGGCGATATTTTCTGATGAAAGCGAACTTTCAAGAATCACCATATTTTGAAATAGTCTTAAATATCATAAATTGTATCTTATATCTTTTCTTATGTTTTACGCAAATAAATAAAACATATATAGATAAAAAAATACAAGTATTTAGTTGTAAATAGCTTTGAAATTGGTGAAAAATCAGCATTTTTTTCGTTTTTTGTCTATAAACATATGTTCCCCTCCGTGAAACACAAAAAGCTTTGGCATGAATTTGTTAAATGACAGTCCATATTACCTGTAAAAAGGAATTTTTGTTTCACGGGGGGGAAAGATGTTTTAAAAATATTTTCCGTTTTCCGTTGATTTCTATAGTGAAAAACACAAGTTTGACTAAAATTAAAGAGTTATCTCTCTTTGGTATCCCAAATAAGTAACGCTTTATGAAAATTCATATAAATATCTATAAAATTTTCGAAAATCATTCGAATATGGTAACTTTTGAGAATTGACTTAGAGGTAGGCGGGAGAACAATACTATCGTTCGTGGTTCTTTAACCATGGCGCAGCTCGTTTAACCATGACGCACATAAATTTAACCATGGCGGCCCGCCGTGGTAAAACCCCTTGTGGAGAACTCTGAAATGACCCCTGCTATTTTGATTGCAAGGGACAGCCCTGATGTTAATAAATATGATTTCATTAAAGTAATATTTACTTGTTTTGAACGAAAAAGGATTCTGAAAACCATAAGTGTCTATTAATTTGGTTACTCATAATGGCAAGACATGCTCATTTAGCATTGCTTTGTCAAAGAATACCTTAATATCATGTATATATCTATTCATTGTAATGAAATCCCTTTGTAGGTGCTATTATCTTGGGAACTCACCAGATTGATGCCAACTGGTGGCAAGGTCAGCTGGGGTCCAGTAAGGGAATTTTTCCAGTCACCCATGTCATGGAGCTGGAACTACCACCCTCCCTAAAGGAACGGAGCCACAGTCTCCACTCGACGGAGCCCCTGTTTGCCCTGGCCATGTGTGACTCGGTGGCTCAGCTGGATGAGGAGCTGGGGTTTAAGACTGGTGATATAATTACTGTGACTGAGATTCTAGACTCTGATTGGTATTACGGGGAGTTGGGTAGTAAGAAGGGGATGTTCCTGTCCTCTTGTGTGGAGCTGATACAGGACACATCACCAGGGGGAGGGTCAGTCCCTCATCAGCTCCCCAAAAAATCCAGCTCCTCCATCCAGAAATCCTTCTCTCTGGATCAGTCTTATTATAGTAGTGTTAGTGATGGACAGCCTGCTGGAGGTGACGTCAGCCAATCAGAATCACACAATGTGCCAAATGACCAATCACAGTTAACTATACCAGATCAAACTGCAGCCTATACCAGTGAGAACTTGAAAAGTCTGGACTCCTCTGTTAGTCCATATGCCATGACCTTGTACAGGTTTGAAGGTCAGTCGGACAATGAACTTTCTTTTGATGCCAATGAGATTGTGTACCTTGTCCAGCACGTAGATGACCAGTGGACAGAGGGAGAGATTGATGGGAGGATAGGTCTGTTCCCCACATGTTTTGTGTCCATTATTGTAGATTGTCCCTACGCTTTCTCCGAGAATGAGGCAGTAAATAAAACAGAGGTAAATATTTCTGAGGAAGAAAGCACAAGGAGTTACCCTGAAGAACAATCAGAAATTGACCAAGAGGTGAAAAATAAAGATCTAGATATAAATGAAAATCAGAATTTTTCAACAGTGGATGAAAGGTTGAACAAATCTGATGGCAGTGTTAATGGAGTTGAACAACATATGAGCAGGGACCAGTATGCGCTTGTTTTGTTTTCGTTTACTGCAGAAACTGACCAGGACCTTACAGTGATGGAAGGGGACACTGTTAAGATTTTAGAGTATCTGAACATCGAGTGGGTGAGAGCATTAAACGAGAATTCGGGGAAATCGGGGCTAGTCCCCACGGTTTTCCTTGACATTATTGATGATAGTCCATTACAGTCTCCTGCTCCGGATTACAAAAATCATGAAGTTAAAGGTGGAAGTAGTGAAATTGTTAGTGATAAAGAGGATTTGAATGTTGAACCACAGGTGCATTTTACACCACCTAGTGATAAAGTGAAAACAACGATTAAGGACAAAAGTTCATCTGTTCCAGTCATAAAACCAAGTGTATCGATAAGTGATCATACCACAGAACATAGAGAACACAATGTAGCTCCTGAAACATCTCAACAAAACATACATAAAAGTAATATTAAAGAGAAAAGTGGGAGCCAAAGCATAAATTTTACATTGGAGCAAAAGCCAGTATTACCAGTTAAACCTCAGCTGAACCCTAAACCTGTAACAAAACCCAAACCAAGCCTATCGCCCAAACCCAATCTACCAAACAAAACGAGATTACAACCCGTAAAAGAAACCGAAGACAGCGAGGCGTCACTTCTCAAGTCTTCATCTGCCCAAGTTCTTCACAGCCCTGATGAATCTAGCAGCACATTGCAAAAATCTCTGTCCACAAATGAATTGTCTAGTTCAGTGTCAGATACCAAAACTGAAAACAGGAGAGCTACATTTTCTTTTGGTGATGTAGATACATCAAAATCATTAAATGACTTAATATCAAGTGAATTAACCAAAGCAAAAAATGATGTGAAACCTGATGATGCCAAAGAGAAAATGGGCAATAAGCCAGCTCACCCAGGCAAGCCAATACTAAAAAGAGATCAAGCCAGTAACAAATCCTCTAGTTCTTCAAATTTAATTAAAACAGATCCAAAGAGACACTCTGTAAATTTTCCAATTCAAGACACGGCACATCAAAAAATAATTTCCAATGATGACTTCCATGGTACATTTTCAACAGGAAATTCAGTCTTCTTTGTGGACCCAGTTCCATCCAAAAAAAGTTACCCCTCCATGAGAAAACCTCCTCCCATTCCACAAAGGTCATTTGAGCAGTTTGATCGTTCACCCTCCCTCAAAAAAGACCCCCCACCCCGCCCTACCGGCCCCCGACTGGCCTCTGCACCTCCGACTGTTCCTTTAATTCCCGTAAAAGTGACCGATACTAATCATGTGAAACAGAATGGTCAGACACCCAGGACAAGGCCATCCAGACCCGCCCCTTCCTGTCCCGTTCCCTCTCGACCCGCACCAACCCGACCCATGCCAACCCGCCCTGCGCCAACAAGACCACAGCCATCATCCACAGGACCAGCTCAGCCGGGACCTGGGGAGGGACTTATTGATCTGGAGGATACATTTAAAGGTAAGGACTTTTATCAGGTAAATAAAGGTAGATACTGTAATCACAGTTCGTTATCTACACCCTTTTCATTGAATATTGGGAAATATACAAGGGTTTTTTTTTTTTTGTTACAATGAATGAAAGTTCCTCATTTTAGTGGAGTTGTTTTGCTACCAGGATATCTACCGTATTAGTAGAATTTTTATTGAGGATTTAATTTTGGCATTATTAGCGAGGGTGCTTACATCGCTAAATTGAATATCGCTAAAAGTTAATTGAGTTTTATTTGTAAAAGTTTTTGTAGTTAGCATTTTAAAATCGTTAAAATTACTTCTCGGTAAAAATAAAATACCAGATTTTAGGTAGAAACCGCGAAATTTGCGTCTCGCTAGAATTTCCACTTATACGGTAAAACACCTTAATTGATTGATAAAATCATGAAGATTGTTATTTTTTTGCAAAAGAACATATTTGCTACAAGATGAAACAAATGCATACCTTAAAAGACCTCCAGTTATACTGATTGAAAATCCCAGTTCAAATAAAAGATTTTGCACAAACATGTAAAGTTGTAAATATTTTATAAATAAATATGCCTTGATTTATATCTTTGCCAACAAACTTATTTTACATGCATCCTGGGTAGAACAATTTCAAAATATCAGATACAGGCATGCGTTAAATTTTTGGTTTAGCTGTCATAAAGTATATGGACACTAGCTTGTTTGAAGTGGTCCCCCTATCAAATTCAAACTGGTAATGAGCTACATGTATCTACTTTGAAGATATGCAGTATTGTTGTATAGTGATAAACATTGAAAGAACCTTGATAATTTTGAAGTAGAGTATCATTTTTAGAATGTCATTGGGATATGACATAAAGTAGATTTGATGACATATTTTAAAATTTCAAATCCCAATGAAATTTTAAACAATATTTGATTTGGTATGGTCTGTTATTTTGGTGCCCCTTTACACAAAGAAAAAATTGCAGTATTGAGTTCCAGTAAGGAAAAGCAACAAAGTTAAAAATTTAAATGATTCACAATATCAAAGTCTATATCCCCCAAATGTCTCACATGTTTGCTTTTTGTGATCACTGACAAACCCCAAAAGTTATCTACCTGGAAGATGTGCAGCATTCTTAGAGATATATATTGTACCCTGTTATAAATAATGATAAGCTGACTGAATTGGTCAGTAAGAAATCACCACAGACTTGGTTGAGATTTAGGAACATACAGTGTAACTTTATGTGGATGTTTTTAATTCAATCAGAAATCAGGCCAGTGTGGTAAAGATCATGATGTAACATTTTATTGTATATATGTACAGTGCAGGTTTTAAAATACCTTGTGAAGTGAGAGCATGGTGATAAGAATATTTAGAAGTATGTTAAATTACCTTTTTTTAGCTCACCTGAGCCAAAGGCTCAAGTGAGCTTTTCTGATCACATTTTGTCCGTCGTCTGTCCGTCCGTCTGTCTGTCTAGCTGTCCGTCCGTCTGTCCGTCTGTAAACTTTTCACATTTTCGACTTCTTCTCAAGAACCACGGGGCCAATTTTGACCAAACTTGGTACAAAGCGTTCTTATATGAAGGGAAATTTAAATTGTGAAAATGAAGGGCCAAGTCCCCTCACAAGGGGAGATAATCAAGAAAAGACAAAAATAGGGTGGGGTCATTAAAAAATCTTCTTCTCAAGAACCACTGGGCCAGAAAAGCTGAAACTTATGTGGAAGCATCCTGGGTTTGTGTAGATTCTAAATTGTAAAAATCATGACCCCCAGGGATAGGGCGGGGCCACAATGGGGAATCAAACTTTTACGTAGAAAAATATAGGAAAAATCTTTAAAAATCTTCTTCTCAAGAACCACTGGGCCAGAAAAGCTGAAACTTATGTGGAAGCATCCTTAGGTAGTGCAGATTCTAAATTGTTAAAATCATGATGCCCGGGGATAGGGCGGGGCCACAAAGGGGAATCAAACTTTTACATAGAAATATATAGGAAAAATCTTTAAAAATCTTCTTTTCAAGAACCACTGGGCCAGAAAAGCTGAAACTAATGTGGAAGCATTCTTAGATAGTGTAGATTCTAAATTGTAAAAATCATGACGCCCGGGGGTAGGGTGGGGCCACAATAGGGATTCAAAGTTTTACATAGAAATGTATAGGAAAAATCTTTAAAAATCTTCTTCTCAAGAACCACTGGGCCAGAAAAGCTGAAACTTATGTGGAAGCATCCTGGGGTAGTGCAGATTCTAAATTATTAAAATCATGACCCCCGGGGATAGGGCGGGGCCACAATGGGGAATCAGACTTTTACATAGAAATATATAGGAAAAATCTTTAAAAATCTTCCTCTCAAGAACCACTGGGCCAGAAAAGCTGAAACTTATGTGGAAGCATCCTGGGTAGTGTAGATTCTAAATTGTGAAAGTCATGACCCCCGGGGGTTGGGCAGGGCCATAATGGGGGATCAAAGTTTTACATAGCAATATATAGGAAAAATCTTTGAAAATCTTCTTCTCAAGAACCACTGAGCCAGAAAAGCTGAAACTTATGTGGAAGCATCCCGGGGTAGTGTAGATTTTAAATTGTAAAAATCATGATCCCCGGGGGTTGGGCGGGGCCACAATGGGGAATCAAAGTTTTACATAGAAATATATAGGAAAAATCTTCTTCTCAAGAACCACTGGGCCAGAAAAGCTGAAACTTATGTGGAAGCATCCTGGGTTTGTGTAGATTCTAAATTGTTCTAATCCTGTCACCCCCGGGGGTAGGGTGGGGCCACAATGGGGAATCAAAGTTTTACTATGTTGAATCAAAGCATCCTATGGTAGTGTAGATTTCAAATTATGATCGGTTGAGTAGGGTGGGGTCACAGTATGTATAACAAGGGGGAAATCTGGTAAAGAACGGAATGTTCAAAGCTTCTCAGGTGAGCAATGTGGCCCATGGGCCTCTTGTTTAATATGATACCTTCATTATACATGTGAGTTAAATCTTTCCAACAATTTTTAAAAAAAGTTACTTCGGATTGAAAATTTAGTGAAGGTCGGTGGAAAAATATTTAACCTTCATTATACATGTGCATTAAATGTTACTATATGGTAAGAACATTTAGTGAAGGCCGATGTAAACATTTGGGAGAACTTGTGGAATTTTGTCAGTTCAGATGTAATTTTATTATTGGTAGGCAACAAGGAAGATTAGTCTGCAGTAAAACGGTTGGGCTGTCTCTTGTCTGTTTTATTGCAGTTTGTTATCTCTGTAATTTCACAAGTTTCCTCTTTGGTTCTGTATTTTTTTTGGTTATTCATGAAATTTTAATTTTTTTTTTTTTTTTTGTTTTTTAAAGGGTTTTCCTCAATAATCAATCGGGATTGTTTTTAAAATATTTTATGTGTGTATTTATATTTTTTTCCCAATTTAATTTTCTGGCACAAATATACATACCTAGCAATTAGCATACGTTTGGGAATTAGTTAAATATTGAATATTGATCAGTTGATGATAACCAGAGCAAATGAAATTTAAGTGAAATGAAAGTGTGAAGTGATCGTTACCAAAATTAAGTCCTGTACTGTTAGAAACTCTTTAGAATGCATTAGTATATTTTGTTGTTGAATCAGCATGAATCCTTGGGTAAAAGGGATTCATTTTTATTAAATTGAAAGGCCTCGTCCTCTTGCAAGGGAGGTAATTAAAAAAAATAGTAAATTTTGAAAATCTTTTACTCAACAACCACTGAATCAGAAAAGATGAAACATGAGTGAAAGCTCTCCGAGGTATTGTAGATTCAGATTCAAAACATATTGTCTGGGAGAAGGGTGGGGCCAGGCCTCTTGTTAAAGAATCTGCCTGCTGTGAAAATCAAAATTCTTGTTACTCAAAAATTAAGATTGAAATGAAAATTCAAGCCTCATTTTTATAAGTTGAGTGTTTATTTTTTATTTTAGCCGAGGCTCATTCTGTGGCTGTGGCTGACCTCAGAAAAAAGATCAAAGATCTAGAAATGGACGTCGACGTGAGTAGCACTGCTTTATATGTAAATTGATAGAAGATATTTTGTTGTGAAATAGGCTTGTGACAAGTATTGAACTCTCTTTTAGAATTGTGAGAAATCTAGGACTGAGCTAGAAAAAACACTACAAGGGAGTGAAGATAATGAAGAAATAAAAGAAAACATTGAGTTTTACACAGACAACATTAGTGGTCTTAATGCTGAGTTGAGCGAACTCAGGAGTGAGTATAAACCCTTCTCAATTAATAGCGCAAGGAACTAAAAATGAATTTTCAAGCTTTGAAATGCTTAACTCTTAGTGTCAATTGTTGGAAAACTCACCACACTTAAGAAAAAGTACAATGTATAAAACATTTTTTAAAATCTTGTAGTAACGATAAGAGATTTACTCATGTACATTGACAGAGAACCTGGTGGCGCTGTGTCCTGAGGAGGGTGATCTGGAGGCTCAGAGAGAGGCTGAGAGGAGGAGGAAGGAGGAGGAGGAGAGACAGCGAGAGGAGGAGAAGAAGAGGACCGAGGAGATGAAGGAGAAGAGGAGAGAGAAGAGAGGGAAGGTGATAGAGGAACTGATCCAGACAGAGAAGGACTTCCAGCACAGTCTGGGTCTCTGTATAGAGACTTTCCTGTCTCCTGGGGCAGAAAAGGTAGGTAGAAGAGGGTTAATGAAAGATGCTCAAAGAAAATTATATAGGATGGGATGTTTAAGAAAGATGCTCAAGGAAATTCCCATGAGGGAGGGTGGCTAGTGGTTTGTTTAGGGGGGGTCAATAATACAAGCAGGTCTTATTTTCATCACAAAGGGAAAATCTTTATATATCTTGAAAGAAATCTAAAAGAAGTTAGTGCTAAAATTGCTATTGGATATGACATGCAGCTATATTTACACAGTTTTACTTGACTTTACCAGCATCCTGAGGTAGATCTGTCAGTGTTGATGGGGAACATTGAGGACGTGGCAGACATATCACAGAGATTACTGAGTGCCCTGGAGGGGGCCGTACAGGGCAAAGACTTCGAGGAGCAGGTCATAGGTAATTAGGCTAATGTCACAGTGTAACAAAGCATTTAGCTATCTGATGTACATTGACCTGAAAATGCATACTGTGAAATCACTAATTTTTGTGGAGGTTTAATTTTCATTGTTTTTGAGGTATAGCAAGACCGACGACTTTGTGACCATCACAAAATGTAAAATTTCATATGCATTATTACTAAACATTTTCCAGCCACGAAATCAAATCCTCACAAACCAACACTTTTTCCTCAAACCTCGAAAATTTGACCCCAAGAAAAATGTGATTTAAAAGTAGTAAAGATTAATATGGAAGGACTCTATGATTCAAAATCCATTGATCATGATTAATCGTTATTCACATATGTGACATTCTTTTAGGTGTATGTTTTGTGGTGCTGTCAGAAGACATGAAAACTGCCTTTGCTCCATACTGCCGTAACCATGATGAAGTCATCACGCTGCTTGAAAAGGTAGATAACAGGATAAATGTGGCTCATTTAACCTGATCTTGAAACAGTAAAATGTGAATAAAGCAAGGTGTCAGGATGACCAAATTTGATACTTTATAAATGTAATTCATTATATCCATTCATGATATGTTTTAAAACTACCAGGTATATCTGAAAATAAAAATCACTTTGTTATAAACATGATATTGTCAAAATTGTGTTTGCTGTAAGTACCGTATAACAGGTAATTTTTACTGCAGATGTAAATTTTTATGAATTTTGGTTGAAATAAGGTGATTTAATTTTTTACGCGTTTAATTTTTACAAATTGAGCATGTTGTAAAAATTAAAATCATCGTAGGTGAAATTCCAGATCAACGTTTTAGCATTTTGAATGTGTTTACATACAAATACATGTTTTAAAAGTGTCTGGACAACCCGCTGTAAAAAAAAAATGAAATTGTTTCCGTGATATTAACGAGTGTCGATTCATTAAATGATGATATGTTTGTTCATCTAAATACCTTCATATATCACATGCCCTGAATTTATTCCTTTTTCAATTAATACACATGTCTAGGCATCATTATTGTGGCGCATCACGTGCCCGTCTTCACTTTAATGGAAACAAAGAGAGACAACTCAAACCATCATGATTAAGTGGACAGAAATACAGCGGACATGGATTACAGTGTACTAAAATGTTGAAGTTTTTACTGGAAGCAAATAAAAAGAAGAAATGGTCAAAGTCTTGAAAAACGGATATAATTTGAAGACTGTAGTCTGTATTAATTAAGCCATTATCAGAAATTATGCGTCCCGTAAAAGGAACCAGGTAGTTGATGATGTTTGTATAACATAATTTTTCATTAATTCAGATTTATTTGTTTGATCCTAATTGATAATCAATTAAAAAATTTTCCAAAATACCAACGAGTGTCAGTACTAATTAAATAGCCTCCAGGTACTTAGCTTAATGACAAGGATAGCACTAAAATACTCTCATAATACGATGTTCAAAATTTCGGCAAGGCATTTTTTACTTCTGTGAAATTTTACGCATTTAAATTTAACCGATTTACATTGTATAAAACTCATAAAAATTAGTAAAAATTAGCAGCACGTAAAAATACTCATTCTACGGTATAATTGATGTTTCAAGTGCCAATGGTATTGTGTGATCTTTAGTGCCAGGTAGTTTTAATTTCATGCATGTTTGTATAATTGCATAAAGTTTACACTGATTCATGCACCATACAATTCTAACAGTTTATTCTGATATTCTGTATAATTTCAGTATGAGGAGAGTGAGTCCATTATGGTGTACATCAACAAGATGCTGGACAAACTCCGACAGAAGACGGTGGTGTTTGATCTCGGAGCCCTCCTCATTAAGCCGGTCCAGAGGATCCTCAAGTATCCACTGCTGCTTAACGAACTCTTCAAGGTCAAATACAAACTTAAGATATTTAATTCCTCAACAAAACTTCAGTTTATACAGACTGTTATTGAACACTTTTTAAGGTGATTTAGTCAGGAAAGTGCATTATCCTCAAAAAATATTTATCCACTTTTGTGTGATTAATTAATAAAAATACCAACAGTTATAACTCATGTATGTGTTGGTAAAACCATGACGTAAATGTGTTAAATTTTGAACATGCTGACAGAGCAAGCTGTACATTTGATAAGTCCAAAGTTTGGTTTCCACTATATATACATGTATGTGTAGTCTATGGTGAGGTCTGTCTGGTATTCCAAGAAAGATCTTTCTTGCTTTTGATAAGAGAGTGATATTCTATTCATGTTTTCTTTTCATTATTGACTTACAGGCAACAGAGGATGATCACCCAGACAAGAAAGAAATTCTGACAGCCATCAATGCCATGACAGATGTAGCATCAGCCATCAACGAATACAAACGCAGAAAGGATCTAGGTCAGACAATCAGATATTTATTTTCTATTGTAATTTTTATGCGCCCGGATCGATAGATCTGAGGCGTATATTGTTTTTGTCCTGTCTGTTTGTCTGTTTGTCTGTCTGTCTGTTGTCAACTTTAACCTTTGCCATAACTTTTGAACCATGAAAGATAGAGACTTCATATTTGGTATGCATACTCCACCAATGAAGTTCTTTCAAATGACTTCAAGGTCAATGACCTTGTGACCTTGACAGTGACCTATTTGCTAAAAGTAGCTTTTACGAATTTTCGCCATAACTTTTGAACCATGAGAGATGGAGACTTTATATTTAATATGCATACTCCACCAATGACACTCTTTCAAATGACACCAAGGTCAATGACCTTGTGACCTTGACTGTGACCTTTATGATAAAAATAGATTTTACAAACTTTCTCCATAACTTTTGAACCATGACAGATAGAGACTTCATATTTGGTGTGCATACTCCACTAAGGAAGTTCTTCAAATGACACCAAGGTCAATGACCTTGTGACCTTGACTTATCCTCTGAAAATATTTTTTTGAACTTTGTTGCCGTCGGGCGTATAGTGTTTCACAAACACATCTTGTTACATTTGTACATGTATTTGATACAATGTCAGTGGGAAATGAAACTTAAAATTATGATTTTATGTTTTACAGTGTTCAAATATAAGAAAGTTTCAGATGAGACTTTTGGAGACAAACTTGCCAAATTGAGCTTCCATACAATAAAGAAAAAAGGCAGCAGGTTCAAAGGTCGAATTAGTACCAATCTGGGACTTCTGCTGGTAGGTGTATGTAGCTGTGCACAAGTTTTATAACTGAGGCATAGTTTATATGAATGTTTTGTAGAAATAAGAAAAATGCCTAAAGGTCTGATTGTATGTTTGTGTATTTTTGGCAGATTAAGGATGAGGACTTTGATAGAGAGGAGGCAAAGTTCAGACAAATGGAGAAAATGGTGAAAGTCTTTATAAGAAACACACAGATATACATGGACCATTTACAGGTACCAAGCTCATTTTATTAATTTTTATACCCCCCGCAAACGAAGTTTGGGGGGTATATAGGAATCACCTTGTCCATCTGTCCGTCTGTCTGTCTGTCCGTCCGTCTGACCGTCTGTCTGTGCAATCGTGTCCGGTCCATATCTTTCTTAAAGAGGGACATTAGAATCTACTACTCCACACAAAGATTGCCCATGACCTAAGGGTGTGTCATGACCTTGACCCAAGGTCATTTGGGGAAGTTCAAGGTCACTGGAAGAAAAATTTCATAAATATCTTTCTTATGAATAAACTTGGTAGGTTCTCATTTCACACAGTGATTGCCCATGACCCAAGGGTGTGTCCTGACCTTGACCCAAGGTCATTTGGGAAGTTCAAGGTCACTGGAAGTAAAATTTCATAATTAGTGTCCGGTCCATATCTTTCTTATGAATAAACTTGGTAGGTTCTCATTTCACACAAAGATTGCCCATGACCCAAGAGTGTGTCATGACCTTGACCCAAGGTCATTTTGGGAAGTTCAAGGTCACTGGAAGGAAAATTTCATAATTCGTGTCCGGTCCATATCTTTCTTATGGATAAACTTGGTAGGTTGTCATTTCACACAAAGATTGCCCATGACCTAAAGTAGTGTCATGACCGTGACCCAAGGTCATTTGGGGAAGTTCAAGGTCACTGGAAGAAAAATTTCATAATTCATGTCCGGTCCATATCTTTCTTATGGATAGGTTCTCATTTCACACAAAGATAGCCCATGACTCGAGGGTTTGTCATGACGTTGACCCAAGGTCATTTGGGGAAGTTCAAGGTCACTGGAAGAAAAATTTCATAATTCGTGTCTGATCCATATCTTTCTTATGGATAAACTTGGTAGGTTCTCATTTCACACAGAGATTGCCCATGACCCAAGGGTGTGTCATGACCTTGACCCAAGGTCATTTTGGGAAGTTCAAGGTCATTGGAAGTAAAATTCATAATTTGTGTCCGGTCCATATCTTTCTTATGAATAAACTTGGTAGGTTGTCATTTCACACAAAGATTGCCCATGACCCAAGGGTGTGTCTTGACCTTGACCCAAGGTCATTTGGGGAAGTTCAAGGTCACTGGAAGAAAAAATTCATAATTAGGGCCCCGCAAGGATTTGCGGGTGCCCTATAGTAATCACTCTGTCTGTCCGTCTGTCACTCTTCCGTCCACAAATTTTCTGTTTTTTTCTAATAACTTTTTTTATGGTTGCCCAATCAAGTTCAAATTTGGTATGTTAGTTCAGTAGGCAGAAATACATATTTTGATGCTAAGTTTGGTTCTCTATGTCTTCTGGTTTGGAGCTGGGGTGGTGGGGTAGATTCCTCAACTATGCATAAGAATGAATGTTCAACTTTTTTTATGGTTGCCCACCATGTACAAATTTGGTATGGTAGTTCAGTAGGCAGAAATACATATTTTGATGCTAAGTTTGGTTCTCTATGTCCCCTGGTTTGGAGCTGGGGTGGTGGGGTAGATTCCTTAACTTTATATAAGAATGCATTGGCAAAGAGAGATAACTGCTGAAGATGTTCCCATTGTAAACTGAATGCTGCTATGAGTCCCTTGGGATTAATTAGCTTTCCTCCTGAAGAAAATCCAGAGCATTATCTTTATCTGTCACATTGAGATGAATTACCACCTCTGTCTGCAAATGAAGTTTGTTTTGAAGTTAAGTCAATTTGGAATGCTATGAACACTCTGAAATGTGGATTTAAATATAAATTTTTATAATTTATTTTTGTTTAATAGTTATGATTTCATTGAATTCTAAAAACAAGAAATAGATTAAAGAAGAGTTTTTGATTTACTTTTATTCACTTTATGTTAATTCAAGAATATTGTTAATTTTAAAGGTAGTTGTATAAAAACCACATTCTATCATTAATCCTGAAAAAGTTTTTATTGTAACTTTAGAAGAAAATGATGAGACAGGTACAATTAATCCCTTGGGATTAATTATCTAGCCTGCTGCAGAAAATTTAGTAGGCTTTTCTTTATCTTTAAGATTAATGAAAACCTTTGTCTGCAACTGCTGTTTGTTTGAAGTTAAGGTCAAGCCTTCATGATATTTGCATTCATTGAAGGCTGGCATTCTATATAACACAAGCTTCATAATTGTTTAAATATACATCCAATGTTAAGTTGTTCTTTACTGCCTAATGTAAATACAAGGATATTATTTTCAGGCTTTTGAATATTCAGGAATTATCTTGAAATTTTAAGAATACAGTTGCTGTTGCTTATTCTTCGTACATTTTTTAATCATTCCGTAAGCTGCACCCTTTTAATTCTATCCCATGGCGGGGCCCTTGCTGACTGGTCAGTTTTCTAGTTCGTGTCCAGTCCATATCTTTCCTATGGATAAACTTGGTAGGTTGTCATTTCACACAAAAATTGCCCATGACCCAAGGGTGTGTCTTGACCTTGACCCAAGGTCATTTGGGGAAGTTCAAGGTCACTGGAAGAAAAATTTCATAATTTGTGTCTGGTCCATATCTTTTTTATGGAAAAACTTACCTCTGAAAAACCCAGCGGGGGGTATTTTGTCCCGTTTGGACAGTTCTAGTTTTGTTTTCAATATGGCAATTAAAAAGTACGAGGGGTGATCAAAAAGTTCGCGAACTATCTCTATATCTACAAAACCACAATTCAGATCAGAAAATTATTTGGTATACACATAGCCATACAGAAGTTCTATAAATAGCATATGCTGAATAAAGTTTTGCTCCTTGTTTGTGACGTCACAATGTGAAAATGACGTCACTATGTAGGTCACTTGTGACGAAAAATGGCTGTCTCAGTCATACTCGTTCAACAAACGACTGTAAAATTTATTTTATATCTTAAAAATCCCTGGGAAGAAGTGTATAATAATTTGTACACAGTTTAGTAAGACAAATGACTTCCTATAAATTCAATAAATGATTGGATTGGTCCTTTTAGTGAAGGAAGGTAGCTGGTTAAAAATGATACTTGTCATGTTGCCCAGTGAAAGCAAGTTTAAAAGGAGAGGTGTTTTTAGTTAAGCAATTTGCTATCAAAGACGTCCAATTTACACTTTGAAAAATCATTGAATATTTTAACAATAATATAATTATTAAATACCTAAGACATCGTTTACTTTAGATTTAAAACATATTAGATATGATAAGAAGGAGGCACCCATTCTCTGTCCACCATGAATAAGCGTCTCTCCCGAGACCGAAGACTTGGGTTTTGATGGTCGCCATGCTTATTTTTGGAAAGAATATTCTTATCAACCCATTCTGTTGCTGAGATTTGACCATTTCTGACAAATAAACTGTTCTTGTTATAAAAATTAAATTACATGGAGAGAAGTATAAAACTCAGAAAAATCTTTCAGTTTTTTTGACAGAACGCTACGGAGGGGGTCACGTGACCGCCTATATCACGTGATTCGCGCATGCGCAGAACGGTGACAGATGTGCATTAAAATTGGAGAGGACTAATGTAAAATAAAATTAACACTGAAACTCAATATTATTTCTTTTATGGAAGTTATTAAATTAGTTCGCGAACTTTTTGATCACCCCTCGTACATATGTATATTGTTATTTAGAAGAAAAAGGCGCTAACATGTATAAACAGTATAATAAAACTTCAAATCTCTAATTCCATATCAATTGAGTTGACTGGTATATTTGTTTATGTAGGAGTCAGTGTCATGCCATGAGTGTGTGGTGGCCGACCTGGCAGATTTTTACGATGATCGACAGAGTAACGCAGAAATGGAGAAATACCAGGAGGCCCAGGAAAATCTGGACAGAAAACATCTACCCACATTTGTATGTAGAGGTTTTTCTCTGCTCTGTTGTGATAATAAAAAAAACAAATGATGATGAATATTTGAGCCCAAATATTGCTTAAATTTTGTACACTGCAGTCAATTTCAACTGTGATAATTAGATTGTTAGAATAGATACATTAATGTACTTATGGTTGATGATTTTAGCAAGAGACAGTTCGGGACCTGGTTACCTCCCCTTTGAACAGACTGACATCCCTGTTTGAGGCCCCAAACAAAGTGATACAGAAGAGATTTGATAAACTGCTGGACTACGACTCAATGCAGAGGAAAGTCACTGATGGAAGGGTAAGGAGTTGTTTAAACAGTCAGGGGCATAACTCAAACAAGTTATTTTCAAAAATAACTCAAATGACTTATTTTACATTATTTCACACGCACAAATTTTTTTTTGAAAAATAACTTAAATAAGTTATTTTTATATCCTACTTGGACATTGATTTCTTGGAAATTTCGTGTTTCCTGCCAATTTGCTTTGCATTTTGGGATTCCATTATGTAATACTAGATGGAGTTCACCGACTCCAATGTAGAATTGGTGAGGAGGTGGAGATAAACAGCATTTTACTCCTTATTTTGTGGTTTTATCCACATGGTGTATATGTCCATATTTAATCATTAAATTAAAAAAATTCCCCACTTTTCCCAATACTTTGAATACTTTTTCTGCATTGAGCAAGGTTTATATTTAGTCAAACATTTGTTTTTGTCTTGGTGCACGAGCAAAATCCTTTGGTGCACGGGGTGTGAAGTTAGGGAGGAATGACAAAAAATAACTTAAATAAGTTATTTATTCATTAAAGCTATTTTGGAAAAATAACATGTTTGAGTTATTAAGGTTGGGAAAAAGTAGGTCATAGCAAAGAGAAGTAACTCATTGAGACAAAAAAATAACTCATTTGAGTTATTTTTGAAAATAACTTGTTTAAGTTATGCCCCTGACTGTTAAATGAAAATCATCTCTTTTAAGACACTATGGTGCACACCCTGTACTATAGCAATAAAATGTTTTCTCTTAATGCTGTATATTTATTTATAACATAGTGCAGATTATCAAATATACCTCATGTATTTTGTTTATAAAAGAA